CTAATATTTAGTTGTCTCTAAACTTGGTTGTGTGAGAAGGCACGGCACATCCACCTATGCCTCCATCTTGGCGGAAGTCTTCGGCACCAGGGTTTCTTGCTTGAACCCTTAACATATGAATGAAAGCACTCTTAGCAGAGCAGATTTCACAGGTTTATCAGAAAGTCTTTGTGATGCCAGATTTTTCCCCAGGACACGCTCTAGCCAGGCAAGGAGCTGCACCTCTCCCCAATGGGTATTCAGGCTTAAGGGGATTAGAGCCAGGAAGCACTTCTCCCAGAGAACTCAGGCTTTGTCAAAGCTGGGGGGTGAGAGTCCATTGCTCCCTCTTTGTTGCAGCCCCCCAAGTCCTTCCATGAAGGCCTCCCAGGTGATGGAGTCTGGCTTAGGTTGCCCCCTGCTGTGAGGGGTCTTACCTATCATTGACTTCTAACCAAGCTTTGGGGGCAGGGAGAGGAAACTGAGGCAGCGTTTGCTACCAGAGACAAGCTTTGTCTCCTGTGGCTGGCACTCCAAAGGTTGTTCCTCGCCCTTAGCCACAAGGGGTCAAGATACAGTTCCTAGAATCAGGCAGAGAGGTCTACAACATGCAACGTTCCTCTATTGGTAGTCAAGGGAAGTGACAACATCTAAGTATCTGGCTAAGATAACTAGACCAGCCCTCTAAACATACTGTCATTTTCTTTCAGGAGATAGTTTCTAAATGTTTTAACTTTGTCTTGTTTCTTTGTTTTATTAGCCCTTCAAGATTTTGTTTAGGAAACTTATTAAATATGTATTATATGCAAAATATGCCCTCCACACACTGAATCTTTGGATTCTTGAGCAATGGTTTACTCTCTGGGAAGTGACAGTCTGAGTCTTTATTATTCATTTAAGGCTATTTACCCTAGAAAGTATTTTTAAACAGATGGAAGGAGTCTCCCACTGCTTTGCATAGGCCCTGCAGTGCTGAAGAGTTTCCTAAGGCTGTTAGCTCTACCCTGTGCAACTCAAGTGAGCCCTGCTAGGGAAGCTGCACACCTTTCCCCTGGCTCTCTTGGGGGTACTTTTTTCTAGGCCTTTAAGTGATTTAGGATAAAGGGATGTAAGTTGCCGCCTCCCTTTCTTCATTAGATGAATGGGGATTGTACCCCCATTTCTACCCTGGAGCTTTATTTAGGAAATGGGGTTAGCTCAGCTTCCTGATGGCAGGGAGAAGGTGGCCTAGCCTTGGGCCACAATCTCAACAACTAATCGATTCTCCAGAAGCACTTTTGGAGTCCCTACCCCTCTTCCCTTTCTTAGTATAGCTGTATCAGGAATATCTTCTTTCTAGATTTTGTCCTAGTTCTACCTCTGAAGTCTTGTGGTTGGTCACACTAGTTGGAGTCTGCATCTGCTTATTTGAATGATGAACCAAATTCCTTCTTAAGAGACTGAAGCAAAGTGAGGCTTAGGCAGTATTCTCCCTCAAGTGTAACGTGGTTGGTTACCTGTGTAACTTGCGGTTTAACATTATCGCCCTTTTTGTCAGGCTGTCAACTATGAGTTTATAAGGAAAATAATAGTATTGAGTCACTGCTTCTTAGAAGACATAGTGAATGGCATTTTACTGCTCTGAGCTATGGAACTGAATGTCACTCACATCCCTCTGTCACTGTACAGGCTACCCTTACAAATTAGGAGCACACTTCTAGAGTTAGGTTTGTTTGTTTGTTTGTTTTTAAATTATTTTTCAAGCACATTTTTTTGTCTATTTCTCCCATCCCAGCCACCCCTGCCCCGTCTCCCCACCTCCCTCCCATTCCCCCCCCCCCCAGTCCTCATCCCTGTGTCTTTCATACTTGTTCCTCAAAATCCCTCCCCATTTTTCCCCTTACATTCCCTTCCCTCTCCCCTCCGGTCACTGCCCACTTGTTCTCTATTTCAGTGTCTTTGTTTTTATTCTGTTTGCTTGTTTTATTGTTTAGCTTCCTGTCAAAGGTGAGATCATATGGTATTTGTCCTTCAATGCCTGGCCTATTTCACTTAGTATAATGCTTTCCAGTTCCATCCATGTTGTTGCAAAGGGTAGTAGCTCCTTCTTTCTCTCTGCTGCATAGAATTCCATTGTGTATATGTACCACAATTAGAGTCAGTTTTATTAGTAAATTGCAAGTTAAAAGTTGGCTGGGAGGTCTGGATTTTCTCTAAAAAATTAGGGCAAAAAAAAGCACAACATACTGCACAGAGAGTGAGGAAGCTGTGGAAAATTTTTGAATGGGGACTTCTAAGTCATCATGGTAATTATATGTAAGCTATATGAAAAAACAAGTTAGACTTCCGCCAAGATGGAGGCATAGGTGGAAACACTTCTCTCACAACCAAGTTTAAAAACAAAGTTTTAGCAACAAAAACGCAGCAAAACCACAGAAAATCGAACTATATGGAAATCTGACAACAATGAACCCTTCAGCCAAACCAGTAAGAGGGACAGAGCCAGCAGCAGAGCGAGGTCGGGCAGGAAAGACCCACAGACCAACCCCGGGCGCGCAACCCAGGCACTCCAGCAGCTGTGGGTGGATCCCAGGTGTGGAGTAGCAGGGAGAGGACCCACTGAGGGCTGACCATGGTCACACATTCACTCGCAGATAAACCGTAAACCTGCGAAGGAGCGAGCAGTGAGAGGGACTGCGCAGGACCCAGCAGCGGGAAGCAGCAGAGGGGACTGCCATTGTCCCTCTCTGACCCCGCCCCCACATACAGCATCACAAACCAGCAACCTGGGTGGTCCCGCCCTGGTGAATACCTAAGGCTCTGCTCCTCATACCTAACAGGCACAAACAGATAAAAACATGGCTCAAGAACAACTCAGAGCCCCAGAGCCAATAAATCTAAGTGATGAAGAAATAGCCAAACTTTCAGATGCACAGTTCAAAACACTGGTGATCAGGATGCTCACAGAACTGGTTGATTTTAGTCACAAATTAGGGGAACATACGAAGGCTAAACTAATTGAAGGGAAATGCATAGGAAACCAATAGTAATGGAAAGGAAACTGGGACTCAAAGGAGTGGACCAGAAGGAAGAAGAAAATGACCAAACAGAAAAGGAGGAAGAAAAAAATTCAAAAAAAGGAGAGGCTTAGGAACCTTCAGGACATCTTTGAATGTTCCAACATCCTAATTATAGGGGTACCAGAAGGGGGAGAGGAACAGCCACGAGTGGAAACCTTATTTGAACAAATAATAAAGGAGAACTTCCCCAGTCTGGCAAAGGAAATAGACTTCCAGGAAATCCAGGAAGCTCAGAGAGTCCCAAAGAAGTTGGACCCAAGAAGGAACACACCAAGGCACATCATCATTACATTAGCCAAAATGACAATGGAGAATTCTAGAAGCAGTAAGAGATAAGGGGACAGTCACCTACAAAGGTGTTCCCATCAGACTGTCAGCGAATTTCTTAAAAGAGACCTTACAGGCAAGAAGGGGCTGGAAAGAAATATTCCAAGTCATGAAATCCAGAGACCTACATCCAAGATTGATCTATCCAGCAAAGCTTTCATTTAGAATGGAAGGGCAGATAAAGTGCTTCTCAGCTAAGATCAAATTCAAGAAGTTCATCATCACCAAGCCCTTATTTTATGAAATGTAAAAGGAACTTATCTAAGAAAAAGAAGATTAAAAATATGAACAGTGAAAGAACAGCAAACTCACAGTTATTAAGAACCACACCTAAAACCAAAGCAAGCTAAGAGGACAGCTATATAAGGAGCAGAACCATAGAAATGAAGATCACATGGAGGGGTTAGCAACAGGGGAGTGGGAGAAGGAGAAGGGGGAAGAAGGTACAGAAAATAATTAGCATAGATGGTAGGTAGTAAATAGGGGGGAGGGCAAGAATAGTAGGGGAAATACAGAATCTAAAGAACTTGAAACACGTGTTCATAAACTAAAGGGGGGGATGGTGGGGGAGGGGTGTGCAGGGTGGAGGGGAATGAAGGGAAATAGAACAACTGTAATGGCATAATCAATAAAATATATTTTAAAAAAACAAGTTAAAGACATTTCCATACTGAACTCTAGTTGAAGTAAACAGAAATCACTTTGATTTAAATAGGAAAGAATTTTTTAACTTTATTTTTATTGTTGACACTATTATAGATGACCCCATTCCTGCCCTCCCTTTGCCCACCTCCACTAGCTGCTATTTCCCCTTCCCTCTAGCCATCTGTGACTGTGACTGTTGTCTGTGACTATGTGTCAGGTATATATCTTCTTGGCTAATCTCTTTACTTTCTTTCACCTAGTCCCCACTCCCCCACTCCCTTCTGACATCTGTAGGTCTTCCATGTGTCCATGTCTCTGTTTCTGTTTGTCAGTTTATTGTGTTCATTATATTTCACATATAAGTGAGATGCAGTATTTGTTTTTTTCTCTGACCAGCTTATTTCACTTAGCATGATAATCTCCAGGTTTATCCATGTTGCAAAAAGTAAGATTTCCTTCCCCTATGTTCATAACAGTGTTACTATATTTTGCCATGTATACTGCACACTTTTTTGCCCGAATTTTTTAGAGAAAAGTAACGATGTGCATTATACATGGGTAATACTAATTCTGTACTAATACAGAATTAGTGTAATGTTTTTAGTGTAAGCAGCAATGACATCTGTATGCAAAATAATACCCTGGAATACAATAATTGGTATTGTTGAACTTACAATAAACTTGTAATGAAAGAAGTTTTAGCCAGTGATTCAACAAAATAAAATGAAGAATGATGTACTGTTATCCACAGAGTAAGATAGATGATGTGGATTGTTATCTACTTAATAAGATAGGTGATACCCATTGTTATCCACTTGATATGAAAGGTAGTCCTGACTTTATTACCATATTCTCTTTGTACACTTTAGGAGGGGTAAATTTTTAGAAAATCCCTTGGAAAATCTCAAAGCAGTTTTCATTCACTGCAAGCTTTAAGCTGAGTTATTAAATATGTTAAAAAGCATGGCAACACTGAATCTCCTCTCACAGGGAGTATCACCAGATTGTGGAGGCAGCAGGAAGAAAAGCTTCTTCAGATGCCAAGACAGAAGAAGGCAATTCGAGGGAAACCTCCAAAGTGGCTGCAGGTGGAGCAGGAGGCAAAGACCTGGATTCTAGAGCAGCATCAAACCGGGATCTCTGTTTCAACCAAGGTGATACAAGAAGAAGGTAAAAGGATTGCCCAAGAAAAAAACATTGGTGATTCCTCATGGACACCTAAATGGTGCTTTTACTTTATGAAGGCAAAGTTTGAGCACAAGGACATGAACAAACTTGCCCCAAAACTTCTAGCAACCTATGAGAATCAAATTTTTGCTATTTCATTCTTAAATGTTATCAATCTTCAAAAGACTTACAAGTTTGAGCTGTCCTAGATTGCCAATATGGATGAGGTCCCACTCACATTTGATGTGCCATCTAACAGAACTATGGACATCAAAGGAGCAAAGACCGTGGCTGTTAAAACTAGTGGTGATAAGAAAACACATTTCACTGTTGTTCTAGTCTTTTTTGCAGATGGAACAAAGCTACCACCTATGATCATCTTTAAAAGGAAAATGTTTCCAGAACAAAAGATTCCAAGTAGAGGTATTGTCCACGTGCATGAAAAAGGATGAATGAATGAAGAAGGCATGGAAATTTGATTTAACAAAATCTGGTCATGAAGGTCTGGAGGATTACTTTAAAAACCAGTTTGCTTGTTTTTTATCTGTTTAAAGTTCTTGTTACACAAAGTGCAAAAACAATCACGGTGGACCTGAAAACCCAACTTGCTGTGATACCTGGTAGGCTAACCAGCTAACTGCAACCTCTTGATGTGTCAGTAAACAAGCCCTTTAAGGCCCTAATGACAAAAGAGTGGGCATCATGGATGCAGTCAGCTGGTAATGATTAAACACCTACAGGCAGGATCAAGAAAGCATCCATCACTCAGGTTTGTGATTGGATCCTAAGATTGTGAAACAGTGTCACTCAGGTTTGTGATTGGATCCTAAAATTGTGGAACAGTGTCAAGAAGGAAGTGGTTGTGAAATGATTTTAAAAATGCATCCTCAGCAATGCTGTAGATGGGACTGAGAATGATGAAATTTAAAAGGATGAGGGAAATGACTCTTCAGAAGACACCACCACTGGTAATGTAGAAATTGAAGATGATATTTCTGATATTGACAATGACAAAGAGTTCCTGGCCTTCTAAGGTGCATAAATATTGTGATTTCATTACCAGTACATAAAATTTCTTGTACCTTATATCTGTTCTTGTGTTTTGTAATTATTATATAAAATTTCTTGTGCCATAATATGTTAAAAAGTATATCACTTCTCAGCCTTTTGGCTAAGATCAAATGAAAAATAAATGTTAAAATTCCTTTGTAATACAAACAGTAAGTATTTAAATATAAATAAAGGATTGAATTAAAAAATTAAAATGAAATTTTTTTTCCCTGAAAGTTTGGGCCAAAAACATGGGCGTGCATTACACTTGGCACAAGAACAGTATTTACAATAGGCAAGATCTGGAAACAGCCCAAGTGCTCATCAGTAGAGGAGTGGATAAAAAGCTGTTGTACATTTATATGGTGGAATACTATGTGTCTTTAAAAAAAGGGAAAGGATTTAATACAGGGAATTAGATGCTTAAAATGCCTAGACTAGAAGCAGATTCTCATCTGGGCCTTTAAGGAAAACTCCCAGGACTGGTGAAAGCAGAACTTTCAGGTCATTTCTAACTCTTGAGGCCTCACCATGGGCCATGTGTTCAAGAATCCATCTGTGCCCCCTAGATTTAGTCAAGAAATACCTATACCTACCACAGCTGCTCAGTTGTCTGGAGCAAGTAGTGCAGGGGAAACATCTTCCTATGACTTCTCTTGTAATCAGGAACATCAGATTCATTGGAAACTCACGTTCCCAATGCATTCATTGGGAAGAATGCATCTACCTGGCAGGTGGGACTGTAGCTGAAAGAAGTCAGAAAATATTTTTCTTTTAAGATTCTCAGCCTCTCTACAAAGTGTAAGGGGATGAGACAATCTACAGTTTCTAGTATAGGCATCAAAACAGACATTAAAATATCATTAATGAAAATTTGTTAAAACAATACAAAGAGTTATAAACACTTAAAACAATAGTGGTGACACTGGAGAGAACACAGACACAGCTCATTGATTGGTGAAATGGAGTCATTTGAGTTTCATAATGGGTCTTGCTGTATTATGAGCCCGTGGAGCTGAGGGACTGAATATATGCTGTTTCTCAAGTGAGAAATATAATGAACAGATTAATATTGGTCTCTATCATGTCCACAACCCCTTCCTTCCTACACCAGTATAATTTCAGTCTGGAAATATTGGTATTGTCAAAGGTTTTCATTTTTACCTGTTGGGTGTGTAATGATGTCTCATTTTGGTTTAATTTGCATTACCCTGATAATTATAATTGAGTTATAAAAGTTACTTATAATGCAATTCTTTTATAATATACATGCATTGAGAATATTTCTGCTAGCCTGATTTTATTTTCATATTTCATTTTTTCTGTATGATATCTTTGAATGAACAGGTGCTTTAAATTTTGATAAGGTCAAAATTGTCAGTGTTTTTTTATTTCTTGACATTTTAGTATCCTAAAATATTTGCTCGAATATCAGTATTTCAAAAATACTCTGTTTTAGTCTATAAACTGTATATCCTTGTATTTATGACTGATTCATTGGGAATTAATTTTTTAAATGGTGTGAAATCTGGGTCAGGGTTCATTTTATTTTTCTAATGGATAACCAGGCTAACACCATTTGTTGAAAGAACTGTTGTTTCTTCAATAAATTACCTTAGCAACTTTGCAAAAAAATTAGTTAACCATATGAAAGTGGGTCTGTTTCTAAACTCTGTGCTATATATCTGTTTGCCCATCCTTACACTCATAAAGTAGATGAGAATATCTTCAAATCAGGTAAGTCCTTGAAGCATGAGAATTTCTATTAAAAAATCTAGGATTTTAACCAGAATATAGTAAATCTAGAACTTGATTAGAGAAGAATAGACAATCTTAAAAATATTCAGTCTTCCAATCTGTGAGCCTAACACATCTGTTCATTTCCTTATGTTTAATTTTCTTCAGTATTTTAGTTTCAGCATGGAGACATAACTCTTTGAAATCTATCTCAAAATAGCTAATATTTTCCTACTATAGTAAATGGTACTTTTGAAAATTTTGTCTTTCAATGATGGCATTGCTTGTATATGGAGTATGATTACTTTTTGTATATTGAATTTAGAGGCCAAGAACATGCTAAACTCATGGAGTTTGTGATATTTTTTTTGTAGATTCCTTAGGATTTAAAAAAATTCTGTAGGTATAAAATTGTTCATAATGTCCCTATGTTAAACTTTTAATGTCTGAATAATATACAGTAATAATCCCTTTTTTTATTCTTGTTTTCAGAGATTTGTGTTTTGCTTTTCTGGATCACATTAAATTAGAGGTTTATCAATTCTGTTTTAAAGAATGGTTGGGGGGGCCAGAAAATGAATGGCAGTAAGGTAGGTGGGAGCTGAACCCACTTCCTTCTGCACCCAACTGAGACATCTAGCCTATGTCCTGAGGAACAGAGTGAACAACCAACAGAATTCTAGCTAAGAAGTTGGGAGGCCAAAGGTTACAAGTTGCTTAAAAACAGATGGTATGAAGATTTTGTAGGCCGACCGGACAGTCCCCAGGCCCTAGCCTGGAGACTGAGGCTGCGATGGCAGGTGTAGGGGAGAGCCTTGGTCAGTGGTTGTGACTTTGCAGCAGCCTCCCCTACCAAAGCAGGGAGTTGGAAGACTTGCGCTAGGAGAGACCTGGAAGCTTAAAGTTGTTGGAAGGGATAAAGATGCAGTAAGAGACACACAGCTGGTGGTGTATTCCAGCTGAGACTGTGGTCCCAACTGGGCCAATACCACAGAAATTGGGGAGCCGGGTGACACCTGGAAGTGGGAAAAGAGCTGAGACTGGCTGTGACCCAGATAGTCTCTGGACTAGTCAGAGTTGGTTTGTGTAGAAAGCCGAGAGCTTGATAGGAATGTCCTGCCACCGCAAACAAGGGGAATTCACACACAAAAAAGGCTCTCGGCCACTGTGCAAGGACCTCTCACACTAAGCTGCCAGGCAAGTGAAGAGGGAGGAGGAGGGGTGTGATTTGCTCCCACCAAGAGCACCTCATTGATCTGAGAAGGGTACCAGGGGCTCAGAGAGGTAGCAGCACCCAGAGAGACTTAATTCAATATGAGAACCTAATTGTCCTGAAGTGACTTTGTGCTTGGAGGCCCAGGCCAACAAAGAGGGAAAAGAAAGGGTGCAATTTGCACCCATTCAGTATACCTCATGGACTAATCAAAGGGTTGCACAATGAGGTGGATTAGACACCTGGCCAGACACACATACACAGTGGACAGTGTGGGTCACACAATGCTCTGAGGGCATGGGCTTGAAACTGAGCACCCATATATATTGTACCTACCACACTGGTACTTACCACCAGCTCTTCTACCCTAAGCAGCTGATCACAGGAAAGGAAGATGCTGCCAATAACTATGCCTATGAACACTATACCACTGGCAAGAAGATCATTGACCTTGTCCTGGACCGAATTCGGAAACTGGCTGAACAGTGCACAGATCTTCAGAGCTTCTTGGTTTTCCATAGCTCTGGTGAAGGAACTGGTTCCGGGTTCACCTCCCTGCTGATGAAGCATCTCTTTGTCAATTATGGCAAGAAGTCCACGCTGGAGTTCTCCATTTACCCAGCCCTCCCAGGTTTCCATAGCTGTAGTGGAGCTCTGCAACTCCATCCTTACCACCCACCACTGTGGAGCACTCTTGATTGTGCCTTCATGGGTGACGACAAGGCCATCTATGACCAGACTGTGTCTTCCACCACCGCTTCTCTCAGGTTTGATAGAGCCCTGAATGCTCTGATTGAATTCCAGACCAACCTGGTGCCCTATCCCTGCATCCACTTCCCTCTGGCCACATACACCTCTGCTGAGAAAATCTACCACGAACAGCATTCTGTAGCAGAGATCACCAATGTGTGCTTTGAGCCAGCAAACCAGATGGTGAAATGTGACCCTCACCATGGTAAAAGATGTCAGTGCTGCCAATGCCACCATTAAGACCAAGCATACCATCCAGTTTGTGGACTGTGCCCCACAGGCTTCAAAGTTGGCATTAATTACCAGCCTTCCTCTGTGGTGAGCAACACAACTACTGCTGAGGTGTGGGCTCGCCTGGACAAGTTTGACCAAGCATGTCTTTGTCCACTGGTATGTGGGTGAGGGCATGGAGAATTTTCTGAGGCCTGTGAGGTCATGGGTGTCCTAGAGAAGAATTATGAGGTTGGCATGGATTCTGTTGGAGAGGGCGAGGAAAAAAGAGGAATACTAAGTTAAAATGTTACAACGGTGTTGCTTTTATAGGGGAACTTACTGTTTTATACACTAAAAAGTTGTGGTCTGATCAGTTGATTTGTATGTAGCCGTGTATAGTTGTATACAATTACTGGCCTATGCTTTAAAACATGAGGCTTTGTTACAGACCCAACCAGTTCATTTCTGACAGGTATGCATAAAGTATTCCCTGTCTTAAAAAAAATAAAAAGTACAAATAGGTAATCACAGAATATCCACAGGGGTGTAAAATACAGTATAGGAAGTGGAATAGCCAAAGAACCTACACACGATGCATGGACATGAATAATGGTGTGAGGATTGACTGAGGGAATGGGGTTACTAGGTGGAAGGTGGGGCAGAGGGGCAAAAATTGGGACAACTGTAATAGCACAATCAATAAAATATAATTAAAAATAATAAAACATTGAAAAAAGAAGCTATTATAGTACAAATTTCTGTAGTGGCTTCTTGGCACAGCTTCCTCCATCTGGCACCCTACTCACCAAACTCCAGCAGTAACTTAGACACTGCCCTTCAAATGTGTGAGTTAGCCACAGGCAGAGTCCAGATTGTACACCTCACCCCTTCTTTTAAAAATCCAGTCCAGGGCTGCTAACCATGTTTGTTTTTTCTTTGCAATAGTTGATTACAGTAAAGACCAAGTCCAATCCACATTGAAGGTCATTTTTAGTTCTTTTTATGGTTCATCACTTTAAAAAACGATTTTAGAGATAGAATGAGAGAAATATCAATTTGTTGTTCCATTTATTTATGCATTCATTGTTTCATTCTGTATAGGTGCCCTGACTCGGGATCAAACTCACAACCTTGGTATATCAGGACAATGCTCTATCCAACTGAACTACCCAGCCAAGACCTTATCAGTTAACTGTTTTGCCTTGCTGCTTTCCCAAAGACACCATTTTTCTTAGCCTGGTGGTAATGGGGCAGGGGGCATTCAAAATCAGCAAAGTATCTAATCCTTACTGCACATACTCTTTTTTTCAGGTTATGTTTAACAACCTGGCCCCTTTGCACCTCTATCAGTATAGTGTATAGAGTATAGTTTGAAAGACTGATTATATCTGATCAAATTGCCTTTATTCGGTAAACATCCCTGTAATTAAATTATACTTTTAAAATGTTTAAATTCGATCTAGTTTTGTTTCATTCTTTGTGTCTCAAGTGTCCCAGAGGCTGGGACTTAAGTGTTTTCATTTAATAAAAGGATTTAGAAGATTTTTTCACCCTATCCCATTGACTACATAATATTTAAAAATATTTTTCAGTCTGATTTTAAAAAATGTGTTAAGCAGAATTTGATTCTATGGAAATGTATCACATGATAAAACCTAGATTTTCAGAAAAGTAATAGTTGAATGAAATTCACCTAGTCAGACTGCCTAAAATACTTAAGAGGTGACATAATCTTATTTTTGTGTATTAAACACTGTCAAGAACTAGGCTTTGAGGGATGGAGAGATGCCCACATAATGGTATGACTTACCCAATATTTAGTACAGTGTCCTTTCCCTGAATAGCTAGATGACACTGAAGAATTAAGGAGATCATAACTCTGGGACAGAAATCAATCAACTAAGGGTACAACAGTATAGTACATCACAAAAACAAGAATATAACAAAGTACATATAAATTTCATGTTATATGCAACACAGGACAACTGGGTCTGAGTATGAATTGAGAAATGGGAGGTAACTATTCACCAGGTTTATTTAGGGCCTCATGAAAGCCTTATTTTCCCCTGAAAAAAAAAAAATGTGTGTGAATAATCTTATCACAAAAGCGCTACTGGATGGTTAAGAGTAAACTTTTGAGACAAGGGGATGTCAACAGTTCTTATCCTTCCCTACAAACCATCTTTATAACAATGTCATTTCAATTTAGAAGTAACATTAAGAAAAACATGCAATACAGCTTCTTCATTCAGAGCTCAAAAGGCCACCAAGAGATTAATCAAGTGCAGCCAGAAGATATATCATTTCCTATAGAGGTGAAATTAACTTGAAAAAAAGTTACCATTATATAAACTTAAACTGGATCACATCATTTCTAAAAACCATTACAGTCAGAAATGACAGTTATCAAAAGTATAAGAATTTACCAGTTTATCTGAAACAGCTAATTGTACAGGCAAGTTTGTTCTAAACAAGTATATTTTTAAGGTGAATTATGATCCTGTGAGTACATACACTGCAAAGAGATAGAAAAATACACTTTGGTCTGTTTTTTTTTAATACTAAGAAAAACAGACCTTCAATAAACACATTCCAGATGAAATAAATTCTATGGAGAACGAGAGAAACTGAGCAGCTGACTGCCATGGAGAACTTGAGAGAACTTTTTTTGTCTAACACTAAAATTCTGGGGATTTGTATGGAAATACAAACATTAAGCACATCTAAATAAATGTAAGTTAAGAAAGAGCAAACGATTCAATAAATAACCATAAAATGAGCTACCATGTCATCTGCAAACAAGCTTCAATGTAATCTTGGGAATGGAAGACAGATTTCACCTGATTTTCAACTTTAATCTTTAATAATTTTGTCAATACCCAATAGTATTATAATATTAGAAGTACTTAAACAGAAATTAAGTCATCATTTACACAGGGATAAATGGTTCCACTCAAAACTTATTAAAATTCAAATTAGAATATGTTAAGTAGAGAATAAATCTTCAAAAAACTATGTGGCAAGTTCCTGGATATCTAAGTGTATGTCAACAGTATTGGACTATTTAAATTATTAGAAGCTAAGAATATGATGTCAAATTTTCAATAAAAATATTTTTTAAAGATTATCATATTTGCTAATAAATTAGATTTATACAGTTGGTAATTTCAAAATCTAACCTGAGTTGTAAATGCCACCTATCCCCAACCCATCTCATATCCCATTTTCTTTTAGACCACTGTGTCTCAACATTTAGTGAACATACATATTCCTTGGGGATCTCATTGCAATGCAATTTTTGATGCTGTTAGTCTGTGATGGGGTCTGGAGTCTACAGTTCTAACAAGCAACACATGGAGGTGATGCTGAGTTTTGGACTACACTTTAATTAGCAAGATGACCCAATATGTAGTGAGGGCAATTTCTGGTCTAATAATGACTGTGTGATTTTATAATTTCAGGCTGTAATGTTATGGAATCAATCATAGCAACCAAAAATGATCACAAAAAGTACTTCTTGGAAGAATGTTTTTGTTAGGTAAGAACTTCAAGTATACCAAATTGGCAGTGTTTCCATTTGTCTGACAATGACACCTTTGATACATTACAGCAGCAATTTTCAACTGGTATGCAGCAAGAATTTTTAAAACGTGATACCTGACTAAGTCAGGAGTACCTTCTCCCCTTAGATTGTCAAATAAAAAAAAACAACAGCCCATACAATAGTTATTTGGTATGAATTCCGTCTTGAACCATAAATGTTAAGGTCATAAAACAGAGTTGCATCTCATTGTTCATGTTGCATAATAAGGTTTCATGACTGGTTACTTCTTAGTACCAGAAATTCTTAAATACAAGAATAGGCACCTGATAATTACAAAAGTCACTTTGGAGCAAAAAGGGTAGGTAATTACTATTTTGTTTTCTGTAAGTTAATCAAAATTTTACCTAATTTTTATCAGACCAGCAAAAAAATACATATTTTTGGTGTGCTGCAGAATATTAATAATTAGTTTATGTGCCAGGAGATGAAAAAAGTTGAAAATTGCTTTATTACAGTGTAAGTCAGAACACCGACTTCTTGTAACTTTAAAAATAGTTACTATAGCTTGAGACTCTCCTCCAGTTAATTCAAGTCCAGAAAATTCAAGCCAGTACACTGCAAAAACACTATTTGTTAAAAACTTTAATGGTAAACTGTCCATATAAATTACTCATAAACCTGCTTTAAGCTATCCCATCTCCTCCTGTTCTTTCAACAAATAAATGCTGCTTTTTCTTCTGTCTTATTGCTAAGCAGCGTGTAACACCCAGGGCCCCTCCCTTTAAAAATCGAACAAAATTATCTCCAACTAAAGGACCCAATGCAAAAAGGTGGGCTTCTTTAACACATTCATAGGTATATGCATCTATTTCCACAGGATTACCCTTACAAGTGATTGGCTGACTTGAGTTATGGCCCAGGTAAGAGCCTTGCTCCTTTAGAAAAGACAGATTGGGATGAGAACCTATCAATACTGCTGCTGCAGAAAGTTTAAATATTTTCTTCAATCCAGAGACGTTTTGAAGGATGCATTTCATATTTGACTTAAAGGAGAGCACATGGTGCTCAGGAAAACTGGTATAATCAGATAAAAGATCTGAGTCTGCAGAATATGACTGAGTACACATCATATGATAGACCTTATGGTATTCTGGATACAGCTTTTTAGGAAGTTGTTTGAAAATTAAACTTGGATCAGTTACTCGTCTGCGAAACACATGAATCACAGGGATGTTATTGTTGTAAGCACATAGTACTGCATCAGCTGCAGTTAGTCCAGAACCTACAATTAACACTGGGTCCTCTTTGCCATGTAGCTTTCCTTTGCTTACGGCTGCTCCAAATTCAGGTACTGAATGAAACACAAAAGGAAAATCTTCCCCTTCAATCTCCAGATGGGCAGGAGAATCCAATGTTCCAGTTGCCAGAGCTACATTCTCAGCAAAAAGACAGAAGGGAACATGAGAACCATCCGCTACTCGCTGATAACCCCGGATCTCCCAGTTTCTCTTGATCAACTTGGAGTTTTCGATCTGTAAATGCTGTGCTGAAATTGCTCTGTTGTGACCACCACTGTCATCCTGATCTCTGTAGAGTCTTGAAACAGAGGTAATGTAAGCATTCTCTCTGAAATTCTTCTCAAGACCCATGACTTTTACATAGTGCTTATAATAGCAAGCTACTTCCTCTGGCATAACTCGATCCCCTTTTAGGTTTCTGGAAAAGGAAAAGGAAACATATCCTAGGAGAAAAGTAATTTTCGTTCCCATGATCATTACTTGTCCATCTAGTAAGCTATATCTTTTTAATTCCTCTGAACTGACTTAGCTATAAATTATCCTAATATCTTACAAAAAAGTTTTCTCTTTAATTAAAAAGAGGAAGCCTTGTGAGGGGAGAGAATGTATTTAATACATGTCTGTTTCTCCAATGTCTTTCATAGCGCCTTTTCGGATTCTGCCTTTACCAATAAACTTTTAGTAAATAAATGAAGGGATTAAAATGTGGATATGTAAAAATAAGACTATTTTGCAGTCTATGTTATAATTGTAATCTAAGTAATTTAGTTTATAACTATAATATTCAGTCAATGGTCTATACCTTAAACGATTTTCAACCAGTGTGCCACAAGAATTTTTTTTAAAGATTTTATTATTTATTTTTCCAGAGAGGGGAAGGAAGAGAAAGAGAGAAACATCAGTGTGTAAGAGAAACATCAATCGGCTGACCCTTGCATGTCCCCAAACGGGGGCCTTGCCCACATCCCAGGCATGGGTCCCAAATGGGAACCGAACCAGCAACCTTTTGGCTTGCAGGCAGGTGCTCAATCCACTGAGCCACACCAGCCAGGGCTGCAAGAATTTTTAAATCATTCAATGCCTAACTATTTAGTCAGGGGCACTGACATTTTTCCTTAGACTGTCAAATAAAAAAATGAAAACAGCCAACACAACAATAGCCATTTGATGTGAATTAATCCAAATTATACCTATTTTTTGTCAGAGTGGCAAAAAATATATTTTGGTGTGCTGCAGAATTTTTGTAATTAGTTTATGTGTGCCATTAGATGAAAAAAGTTAAAAAAATCACTGTAAAACTAAATTATTTGGGTTGCAAACATTGAGATATTCCAGGTCTAATTGTAATATACTTCAGAAAGATAATATATACCACCCTGAAACACTTTTTAGTAAGTTGCCTTCTATTTTTCTAATGACCAAAAGTAAGATCAGTCTTTTGCGAACAAAATCACCTTATGTCTAAGTAAATATTATGACATTTCTGTGTTTTCCTACTCATAGATATACAAGTAAAATATCATTGTGAAAAAAGTACATTAGCACATCCTTCATTTTCCAGTTGAAATTTAAAGCAATGGACATTAACACCCTTAAATCCCTAAACATTGTACCCCCATCAGAGATAAGTAGCAGGGAAAAAAACCAAATCACTTCAAGTTTAATGACCATAATAATAGAATGTATTAACTTTCAGTTTTTACAGGAACCCTACATAGTGGTTACTTCTATCTCCATGTTACAGACTAGGAAACTGACAGCTAGTTTAAGTTATGTGACCAGGGTTACATAAGTTATTGAGTCAATCTCTAAAGATCTAAGAGGCTTCCTTCTCTTAACATGATACAAAGGTAGGAACTGAAGATATTTATAGTAAAATTCATTGTCACATATTTATTCTATACACAAGATCCCCAAACTGAGAAGGAAAAACACTCTGTACTTAAGTCATGAAGCTTTCCTTTCTTTTAGCCACATCACAAAAAGAAGAATGTTGGGCAGTATCACTTCTGGGCTTAAGAAAATGAGGAACTTGTACAACTTGCCTGATTTTGCAACTTCATTATTTCAAACCCATATACAATTCCTTTTTTAAAAACCCAAAAGGAATATTTGAGAGGCTTAATCTCCATTACTCATCTTGGTCTAAATTTGCTCTCCTTAAATCTTGTCAAATTAAAGATAATTTCTGTAGATTAAAATGGTTTCTGTCTAGCAGGAAATTAAGCATTCAAATGTTACAGCCCTGTTCTAACAAAGTTTTAGTAACTTCCTGCTTTTATTTACTGTTTTGTAAGAAGTCAGATTAGATAGAGTACAGTCTCTGTATTAGTAATTTCTATCTATTATTTACTATCCTTGAAAATCACAGAACTTTTCAAATCTTTTTAAATGTTGGGTTCTTTCCCCCAAAATAAACTTGTATTTTTTCAAGTTGAGATTTCTTCTGTTATTCAGATTTTCTTACTAAATATTTAACTCTGTACCCAAGTAGCCAATCACACCATCAATTCTAGCTTATAACTGTACACACTCTTTTAGCCTGAAAGTCAAACACTATAGGTATGCACACATGAAATATTAACATGTGAATTTAAAAATCCATTCATAAAAATAAGTAAGTGTGGAAAGGATCTGCCGGTGAATTAGAAAGTAACTAAACACAGTGTTGAACAGGACTGGATAAATCCATGATTAGCACAGAAGTCAGGAATCCAATCTACAGATAAGCTATTCCTTACCCCAATGCTCTGTCTATAACATCTCTAAGTAGCAACTAGCTCACAATCAATGCTGCAAACAGGCTTTTTACTTGAGAGAGAGATATTTTTACTATTCACCTAAGACATGATCACAAATATTTTGAAGTATGCTGACACACTCTTTCCACTGTACACCAAAGTATTTTAATAGTTTGATCTTTACCTTCGTTTGCTGGTTACCCAATCTTTAAATTTAAGCCCAGGTAGCTCCATCCAATTTCCAAAGCTGATTGTCAACATGGAGCCTTCCATACTCTATTTGAATAAAAAAATGTACAATCAAAATACACATTTAAGCAGTAACACGGTTTTTTGTTTGTTCATTCTGTTAAACCAAATCCATTTATTTACTATAAGAGTCTGGATAAGGAGAACTCAAAGAAGTCCTAAATGGCTGTATAGATTACCTCTCAAAGTTTATTCCAACAAACTTTCAAATAATACTTTTATCACTTGGTAGTTATATACTTATTTTCCTTCTTTCTTATACATTTATAAGACAAATTTACAAAATTACCCAATGCCTACATAATGCTGATAGCTTTGGCTTATAATCAACTAATTCAGATACAGAATATCATGCTGGAGAAACAAATCAGTATTTTCACTTTTTAAACAAAAGGAAAAGAGTTAATTAATTTCCACACTTTAGATGTCTTTTCATTTTAATATTATTAATAGATTTTTTTAAATGGGCAATACAACAGCCTTCTCTCTCCCCTTACCACCCAATCAATTCTAATTGTGCAATCTAAGCTGGTTTGGATATAGCAGCATTTCTTTCCAGAACTAGCAAAAGCAGCAGTGGTTGCCTGATTAAGAACAGATTCATTGTTAATGCTAATGCTACCTTTAAGGAAGTGAGCCCTTCAAGCTCACATGTTCTACTTACTTTTGCTTTGCTAAGCTAAAAAAGCCCAAGGTCCAACAGCACCTGTCCCAGGGGCTTCAGTTTCTTTCAACCACCTATTTGGGCCATGGCTTCTTTTCTCTTAACTCTCTTGCCCTGTGTCTACACAGCCCAGTTTTGGGAATAGGACTTATTATTACTGGCCAACGTTTATCAAACACTATGTACTAGGCCTTATGAAGCCTATTATCTGTGACAGATCACCAAAAAGAGCAAATGCAGCAAGCTGCCACTGCTTTGAGGTGGCCTGGGCCTAGGACTAGGATCAGAAGAACAGGATGGAAAACTAGGCTCAACAGAATGGGAGCTGTTAAGAATATTATATGTCAGACACTATTTGGAACCACATTAAGTATCTCATCTGGAACTCAAAACCCTTAAGGCATTAATATTCTACTTTCTGTCAACAATCTCTAAACTTTATTCCCACTGCACCAGCTGTTCCAGTTGGTTGTGAGCCCTTGTCCCTTGATCTCTTCATTTTTTTCTCCCAATGTACTTTTCTTTTTTTCCCAATGCAATCTATATGCTCTGAGTGCCTGCTGTCATAGACATGCAGTGTATTAAGAGATGCAAATGCAAACCTGAGAAGTACTGTAGAAGCACAGAGAAAGAGAGTATTTCCTAAAGGACACAAGGACTTTGAGGAATGCAGTATTAGAAAGGGAGACTATTCCAGGCAGAACAAACAAGTTATGTGACTGTTTATCAACAAAAAGTTTAGCGTTGTGCAGAAAAGTATTAATAGCCTCAGGTAGTGTTAGCCCTGCACATTATTAAGAAAGGTCTGTGTTAAAAACTGGCCCCTAGCCACCTCCTAGGAGACACCCTCTATCCTTGGAATATTCTACCTGATAAAGAGTTTTTTCTGCATGTCAGAAGCCATGGGCCATGCTGTACCAGTGTGACCACACATGTGTGATTTATGGTGAACATCGCTATTCGCTCTGGGAAGCAGGGACCAGTCACGAAGGCCAGTCACATGGATGCTGCTGACCTTTATGACTGGGTTGAGCCTCCAGAAAATCCCTGGACGCCAACACATGAATGGGCATCCCTAATTGACTGTCACTTGATAAAGAAATGTAAACAGCTTTTAGACATATAACCCTGCACTAATATAGTCATATCCAATTGAAGTTTGTACTTGGGATTTGATATTCAATGTTAAAATTTCTATTAAGTATGTACTTCACAATATAGCACATTTTTTAAACATTTGTACAACAAATGAGCACTCTCTACACACTAGATACTACACTGACTGCTAAGGACACAGAGTGACCAATAATTGTTAGTTGCTGCTCCCTAAAGAAATGCACTTAACTTCATGTTATCAGTTCTTTAGTTAAACTTCTGATATGGACTGAACTGTATCACCTCCTAATTCTAAAGGAAACTTTAACTCCCAGTGTGATGGTATTTGGAGGTGGAGTCCTTTGGAGGTCATGAGGCCCAAGATGAGGTCATTTGAGGATGGGGCCCTCATGACAGGATTAATGGCTTTATAAAAGTAGGAAGACAGAGATCAGGCTCTTTGCTGTGTGAGGACACAGCGAGAAAGTGGCTATCTGAAAGCCTGGAACAGAGCCCTCACCACAAACTGAATACACTGGCACCTTGATCCTGAATATGACAGCTTCTAACTGTGAGAAATAAGTATCTGCTGTTTAGCCACTCAGTCTATGGGAGTTTGTTAAAGCTGCCCAAGTCGACTAATGTAATTTCATTATTTTATAATACATTTTTCATTTAAGATCTGAAAATATTTGTAAAAGAATAATGGATAGATATGAAACATTGTGTGTAATTTTATTCTAAAGTGAATAAAATTTACTATGTAACATACTGAAATATTTTCTGTATAATTATAAAATAGTATACAGAAATGCTTAATCTAACACTATCAGTAATCAAATTTGACTAACCATATTTAACTGAACAGGAGTAAAATTCCAGATAAAAATTCAGTGAACATCATATATAACATTATATCATAAGGTTTAAGAATCAAAATGGTCTTATTAAGATATATATAGTAACTCATATACACTAGAATGCTAAGAAAAGTATACTCACATGCCAAGCTCCACCAGGTGGACCTTTACCAAGTACTAAGTGAGGTATATAATGATGTTGCTCTAATTTCCAATGCAAAACAGATGGATAGTCATACCCAAAGTCAGCATCTGGATGAAGAAGTGTGTCAAAAAGTACTGCAACTGGATTGGATGATCGGCCCTCAAGACCTTCAGACAAGTATTCTAAGTCCTGAATAGAAATTTTTTTTAAAGAAAGAAAAAGTCAAATACAGTTTGAAAAAAGAAAAACACAAACCAACACTATCATAAAGTGAAGGCCATTACTCTAATCCAGTATTTTCCAGAGAGTGTGCTATAAAACACTGATGTTCCTTGAGATCTTAATAGGTTCTCTGACCCCATAAATATGGAAAAGGTTGGGTTACAACAAATCTAATCAGATCATTTTACTGCAGAACTTGAGGATGGTATTAATATACTAATATGCCTTAATATGTCTATAGTGACACTGCAATAAAAGATAGCACTTTCCAAACTTATTTGGGCACAGAGCACCTATTAAAACTTTATCAGGAAATCGTTTGGGAAATTCTGCTCTTATCAAGTCAGGAAAATAAACAGAAGTGACTCAGCAGAATGTATTTATAAGTCTAAAATAAAATGATAGAAAGTGTTATTAGAAGAAAGGATTTTCAATTAAGAAACACATGCTTATATAAGTACAACTAATCTTGGTTTAGTATAAACAAACTAAAAACACTGACAAAAAAATAATACCTGATCTACAATGGAAAGATGTCTTGCTTCTTGTAATTTACCATGTAAGATTGTATTTGGATGTGTTGCTTCTGATGATAAATATGGTCTGTAGCCTGATAACATATAAGAAAGGCAGATCCCTGAGGGTCCATTTCCTATTTAAAAAGAGAAAAATGTGAAGAGGCTGTATCATTCATGAATATTCCTATTCCTTGGCCTTCCTCCCTCACCCATTGTGCCTTCTCTAAACTCTGAAGACCAAGCATTCAAAAGAATTATAACTTTTGTCTTCACTCCTGGTTTTTCTGAGGAGCCCTTTCTAGTCAAAGCTTTAACTCTTTATGCTGACTCCCAAAATTAGATCTCTAGGTGACCTCTTCCCTCAAAATATACCCCACATTTCCATATGCTGCTATTTTACTCCACTTGATAGATCCACTAATAACCTAATGAAAAGGTGTTCAAAGCAAATTCATGAATTCCTTCATTTAGGTACCCTCTCCTTCTAAACAAGACCTCTTCTCAACATATGGCACTAGCAAAGTCCTAAGTTAATCAGCCCTGGCTGGTATGGCTCATGGACTGAGTGCTGGCCTATGAACCAAGGGGTCACCTGTTTGTTTTCCAGTCAGGGAACATGCCTGGGTCGTAGGCTGGGTACCCAGGGGGCGGACCACAAGGGATGGCTATGCATTAGTGTTTCTCTTTTTTCTCCCTCCCTTCTCTCTCTAAAAATAAATAAATAAAATCTAAAAAAGTTGAAAAAAATTCTAAGTCAATCAGGTTCTGGTTCTAAACCTATTTTGTCATCTATATCCATTCAATTGTCTTTGCTATGCTCACTCCTATACTCTCACTCAGAAGACATATTCTTCATCCTGAAATTTACCTACTCCAAAATCATTTCACATTCAGATGAGTTTGTGCAACACATGGTCTTCAGTATGTTACTCCTTCTATTCTAAAGGCCTTAACTGCTTGTTTCTGACTACCCAGTGCTCTCTATATTCTAGTCTCAACCATCTTTCCAGTCCCATCTCTTAATACTGCTTTCCTATATATTTTTATAAACTTTAACTAAAATCAAACTAGATTTTTCATTGGGCTAACTGCCATTTCTGTAGTGCCTTTAGTCTGGGTTGTCTGTTCTCCATTATCTACATCCATCAAAAATTTAATCCAACTAGGACAACTGCTAGCCATAGGGGGAAAAAATCCTGTCCTTTGCCTAATATTTTGTCCCAAATAAGCTCAAAGATGTAAATATGAAAAGTAAAATTATAAGAATGTTAATAATGTGAGTAATATTATTTACACTTACAATGCTGGAGCATGACATAAAACTCAAAAGATAGCCCTGACTGGTATGCCTTAGTGGGTTGGGTGCCATCCCACAAACTGAGAGTCACCAGTTTCATTTGTGATCAGGGCACATGCCTGGGGTTTTGGGCCAGGTCCCTGGTTGGGGACGTGTGTGAGGAAACTGATTAATGTTTCTCTAGCATTATCAATTTTTTTCTGCCTTTCTCCTTCTCTTCCCCTCTATCTAAAAATAAATAAAATCTTACAAAAAACACCTTAAAAACAGAGAGTAAAATAAGCCTTTTGCCTTCATACAATTTATCAACTAATGCAAGTAATGGGAGTTAAGATCTGAGGCAAAGAGCTAATTTCCTTGAATCAAAAACAGACAAAACTCAAGAAAAATCATAATATCAACAGATACAGAAAAAGCATTTAACAAAATCCAACACCTCTTCATGATAAAAACTCTAAGAAAACTACAAATAGAGAGGAACTACCTCAGCTTGAAAAAGAATATCTACAAAAAGCCTACAACTAACATCATCTTAATGGAGAAAAACTAGGAGCTTTCCCTTTAAGACCATTCCTACTCAACAGACACCAAGAAGGAACACTTGGATAATCCTATTAAGATAAGAAAAGGAAATAAAAATTATACTGATTGGGGAGGAAGAAATAAAACTGTCTTTGTTCACAATGCCATGATTATCTATGTAGAAAATCCCAAAGAATTGACAAACCGCCCCCCTAACCTGGTACTACCAGGCAATCGGTGCAAGACTGTAAGATACAAAGTTAATATACAGAAGCCAACTGCTATCCTATATATCAGCAATGAACAAGTGGAATTTGAAATGCAATTCACAACACTGCTAATATGTGCACAAAACAGAAATCTATTTTGATGTAAGATCTATATGAGGAAAACCACAAAACTCTGATAAAAGAACTCAAAGCATATGTCAATAACATGGAAAGACATTTCATGTTTGTGGATAGGAAGACTCAATCTTGTTACGATGTCAGTTTTTCCCAACTTGACTTACAGATTTAATGAATCTAAATAAAAATCCCAGCAAGTTAATTTGTGGTTATTTGCAAATTGATGCTAAAGTTTAAATGGAAACTTGGAACCAGAATAACCAACACAATATAGAACAAAATCAAGACAGACCACCCAACTTCAAGTCTTACTATAAAACTAGACTGTGGACATAATGAATGGAGAAATAAATGGAACAGAACAGTGAACCCAGAAATAGATCCTCACAAGTATAGTCAACTTATTTTTGACAAAAAAAAAAGCAAAGGCACTTCTGGCTAAGATGGAGGTGTAGGTAGATGCATTGAGCCTCCTCCCACAACCAAAAGAAGGACAACAACAAATTTAAAAACAAAAACAACCAGAACTGACAGAAAACCAAACTGTATGGAAGCCTGACAACCAAGAAGTTAAAGAAACATTCATCCACACTGGAAGGAGGGGTGGAGACAGGCAGCTGGGACAGAGAAGACTCGTGGCAAGGTGATGGCGGAATGACCAAGCAGTCCCACATTTGCCTGTGGATAAACAAGGAGAAACAACTGGGGAACAAGACTGACCATGCAACTCAGGGTTCCAGTGCAGAGAAATAAAGCCTCAAGACCTCTGACTGAAAAAAACCTGTGGGGGTTGTGGTAGCAGAAGAAATACTCACTATTACAGGAGAGTTCGTTGGGCAGACCCATAGGGTCGCAGACTGTAAACAAATCCACCCGCCCAGGAATCAGCACCAGAAGGGCCCAATTTGCTTGTGGTTATCAGTGGAAGTCACTGAAACCCCAGCAGAGAGCTGAACAAGCAGCCTTGTTCCTTCTCCAACCCCCCCACCCATATACAGCATCATAAAACAACAACATGGGTTGCCCTGCCCTGTTGATTATCTAAGGTTCCGCCCCTTACTACATAACAGGTACATCCAGACAAAGAAATATGGCCCAAATGAAAGAATAGATCAAAGTTCCAGAAGAAAAAAAAAGTGACCAAGAGATAGCTAACCTATCAGATGCAGAGTTCAAAACACTGGTAATTAGGATGCTCACAAAGAACTGGTAGAGTATGGTCACAAAATAGAGGAAAAAGTGAAGGCTATGAAAAGCGAAATGAAGGAAAATGTATAGGGAAGCAACAGTGAAGGGAAAGAAACCAGGACTCAAATCAAAAGTCTGGACCAGAAGGAAGAAATAAACATTCAACCAAAACATAATGAAGAAACAAGAATTCAAAAAAATGATGAGAGGCTTAGGAACATCTAAGACAATGTTAAACATTCAAATATCCAAATCATAGGGGTGCCCAAAGCAGAAGGGGAAGAGCAAGAAATTTAACTTATTGGAAAAAACAGTGAAGTAGAACTTCCCCAATCTGGCAAAGGAAATAGACTTCCAGGAAGTTCAGGAAGCTCAGAGTCCCAAAGAAGTTGGACCCAAGGAAGCACACACCAAGGCACATCATAAGTAAGTTACCCAAGATTAAAGAGAAGGAGAGAATTTTAAAAGCAGCAAGAGAAAAGAAGACAGTTACCTACAAAGGAGTTCCCATAAGACTATCAGCTGATTTCTCAAAAGAAACCTTTCAGGCAAGAAGGGGCTGGAAAAAAAGTATTCAAAGTCATGAAAGGCAAGGACCTACATCCAAGGTTATCCAGTAAAGCTATCATTTAGAATGGAAGGGCAATTAAAGTGCTTCCTAGATAAGGTCAGGTTAAAGGAGTTCATCATCACCAAGCCCTTATGATATGAAATGTTAAAGGGACTTATCTAAGAAAAAGAAGATAAAAAATATGAACATTAAAATGTCAACAAACTCACAACTAGCAACAACCTAACCTAAAAAAAAAATCAGAACCAAAAACTAACCAAACAACTAGAAGAGGAACAAAATTACAGAAATGGAGATCACATGAAGGGTTATCAGCGGGGAAGGGGGGAAATGGCAGAAAAGGTACAGGGAATAAGTAGCATAAATGGTAGGTAGAAAGTATTTTATTTCTAATAGGAGGTTAAGAATAGTATAGGAAATGTAGAAGCCAAAGAACTTTTATGTAGGATCCATGGACATGAACTAAAAGGGGGCAGGTAATGCTGGTGGGAGGGGCGGTGCAGGGCAGAGGGGAGTAAAGGGAGAAAATGAGACAACTATAATAGCATAATCAATAAAATATATTTTTAAAATGCAAAAAAAAGCAAAAATAATCCAATGGAGATAAATCTTTTCAATAAATGGTACTGGAATAAGTGTACATTCACATGCCAAAATATGAATCTTGACACTAACCTTCTATCTTTTATAAAAATTAACTCAAAACGTGTCATGGCCCTAAACATAAGACATAAAATTATAAAACTTATAGAAGATAACATAGGAGAAAATGTACGTGATCTTTGGTTTGGTAATGAATTTTTAGAACACCAAAAGAAGGATCCATAAAAGAAAAAACTGATAAGACTTCATTAAAGTTTAAATATTTCTGCTCTGCAAAAGACATTGTAAGATAATGAAAAGACAGATCAGACTGGGAGAAAATATTTGCAAAACATGCATCTGAAAAAACTCTTAAATCTCAACCGTAAGAAAACTAACAACCCAATCAATTAAAAAGGCAAAAGATCTAAACACCTCAAAGATACACAGATGGCAAATGAGCATATAAAGATACTCAATATCATATATCATTACAGAACTACAAATGAAAACAGTAAGAGCACACTACACACCTATCAGATGACTAAAATCCATAATACTGACACCACCAAATGCTGAAAAGGCTATGGAACAACTGAAACTCTCATTTATACCGGCTAGGAATGCAAAAATGGTACAGTCAGTTGGTACAGTTTGGAAGACAGTTTGACTGTTATTAAAAAACTAAACATAGTCTTACCACATGATTCAGCAATCACATTCCTCAGTATTTACCCAAATGAGTTGAAAACAATGGCCATGCCAAAATCTGCATGTTTATAGGAACTTTACTCATAATTGTCAAAACTTGGAAAGATGCCATTTAATTAGTGAGTGGATGGATACACAAATTGTGAAACATCCATACTATATAAAACCAATCCATAAAGAAAATTAGTTCTTTATCTACGCTCAGGCTGGTGGCACTACTGCCAACAGTAATGGCCCTGTATACATTAGATTCACTCATTGGCTAGCTGAGGCCAAATAGGAATAGACTGTTGGCAGGGGGGAGTGAAGTGGGCAGGTAAAGACAGAGGTGGGTTTTTGGTTTCCTGACTCTCCAAGGTAGAACAAGAAGTTAGGGTTCCTTTATTTATTCTAAGATATCAAAGATGAAAAACTAGAGTGGATATATGTTGGAAAATGGTACACGAGGTATGGTCTCCAAGATATCCTGGATGAGAACCAGTGTAAAAACTCCTCTCTATCCTCTCCCTGTTAGGGAGAGGATATACTGTAATATAGTATAGAACTATCTTGCTTTCTTCCTTTCCTTCATTCCTTTTCTGAATCTCCCACATGCCAGTCAGAGGAGAGGACTTTTCTCTCCTTCCCACTTATTTTGAAACAAAATAAAGGTTGTCATCATTACCAGGACACTGTCATATAATCAATACAACTGATAGTATTTTAAAAGTTTAATATCAATCCTTAATGAATGAATGCTGCATTGTAACACAGGACCTAATATCAGATAAATATCTTTGGAGAAAGATTTGGTTATTGGTTGTTTTAAGATATCAAACCTAATAATACTTTTCAATACAATCCTAAGAACTTATAACTATGTAACTGTAATTTATAATAGCAGCAAGGATTGTAACTATAATTTTAAGAGATAAAATGCAATAACTTACCAATTACTACCACAGGCAAAGTCACTGATGAATCTTCAAGTAAAGAAGTTTCTTCAACTAATGGCATTGCTTTAACTTTTCGCCCCAAATTATCACCAAAATATTGCACTAAGGAATTATAAATTTTTCCTTCGGTTTCAGTGTCACCATAGCTTCTTTTTTAAAAAAGTAAACATGGAAAACAAATGAGATATATAGTCAATATAGCCTTTATAAAAGTCTAGCTTTATTTGTATTTTACTTAGGCCAAAAATATTCATGTTTCATAAAAGAAGAAAACCCTCCTGACTTATGCTTTCAAATTAGTAGCTGAACTACATGTTCACCTATACCACTTTGAATGTCAGAAATCCTAAACAGCTGCTAACGTCTTTTTACTACTTTACAGGCAAGTCCTACATAAGAAACTATCTTTAATGACCAAAGACACAGTACTGTATGGAAAATTAATATTCTAAGATCTGCTAGGAAAGGGTAGTTTCTCTTTTCCTTTTCTCTCATTAATAGAAAAACACATTAGAGGCAGTATATTTAAAACAAAAGTCACATATAATATTTTAAGGAAAAGTCACTGTACTTAAATACTATAAATTGTGCATTTTGATTAGGTTTACACATTATATTAATTCTCAGAGATACTAAAATATGAAAAGATCTTAATGTCGATTTCCAATCTTTCTTTCCCAATTGCCTTCCTAGAAACTAGCTTTAGCAATCTGACATGCTCATGCAATAAATGGACTAATGTTAAACATCTTTTCACGTGCTTATTGGCCATTTATACACCTTCTTTGAAGAAACAGTCAAATTCTTTGCTCATTTTCAAATTGGTTTTCTTTTTATTGTTGAGCTTTAAAAATCCTTTATATTTTCTGGATACAGGTCTCTTTTTAGATATGATTTTCAAATATTTCCTTCCATTCTGTAGGCTGCCTATTCATTTTGCATTGTCTTTTTAATCACAAGAGTTTAAATTTTCATCAAGTCCAATTTATTTTTACTTTTCTTGCTGTGCTTTTGGTGTCATATCTAAAATATTACTACCTAAGCCAAGGTCACAAAAATTTACTCCAATGCATTTTTCTACAAGTTTTATAGTTCTAGTACTTACATTTACGTTTTTCATTTATTTTGAGTTAGTTTTGCATATGGTAATAGTTAGGAGTAAAATTTCATTATTTTGCCTCTGGATATTTGTCCTGGTATCAGTTGTTGAACGGACTATTTCTCCTTTGTCTCAGAATATCATGGGAAATCAAATGACCATAAGGGTAAGGATTTATTCTAGATTCTCAATTGTATTTCATTGATTTTATATTTATCTTTATGCCAGCACCACACTGTTAATTTATTCCTTTGTAATAAAATCTGAAATCTGGAAGATGAAATCCTCCAACTTTTTTTTTTATCAAGAACATCTTGCCAGTTCTGGGTTCTGTGCAATTCTATATGCTTTTCTGGAAAAAAAAAAAAAAAAGCAGCTAGGATTTTGATAGGATTTCACTGACTTTGTTGATCAATTGAGAAATACTGCCATCTTAAGTAGAGGATGGAGCAAAAGTAGGTTTACAGTTGTTCCGTATGTTCCATATGTTCCATATTTTCATATGGAAAATAATAAAATAGTAACTAACACAAGAATAAACTGTTTTGCATACAACTATAAACCTACTTTTGCTTCACCCTATATATCAAGATTTTCAATACATACATGAGATTCCTTTTCATTTACCTCAGCCTTATTCTGTGATGTTTTGTAGTTTTAAGTGTACAAGTTTTACATGTCTTTTGTTAAAATTATTCCTATATCATTCTTTCTGATGCTAGTATGAATGGAATTAACTGTAATTGCAGGTAAAGCACAGGTGGCAAACACAAGGCCGGCTGGCCAGCCTTGTATTATCCAGCCTGCACCTTGTTTCTACTTGACAGCTGCGCTGAACTCTCACTCAACAGTTAAGGAGTAGTTACATTTATACAGCCCTAAAATTACATTCGGCCCTTTGAAGGCAACCATGAGGCTGAAGTGACCCCCCAGTGAAAATGAGTTTGACACCCCTATGGTAGAGGGTCTTTCTTGCCTTCAGTTGTAAAATTGCTGCACCTGTGAAACGCAATAAAAAAGAGGTATGCTTGTGTGCTTCTTTAAACAAGTTCAGTGATGAGTAATACTGTAATTCTGAAGAAATAAGCATAAACTGTATTTCTAGGTACATGTGACAGCTGTAATATGAAAATATTTGTGATTTCTAGAGGTGACAAAGTCACAAATATTAGTGCTTGTTGCTTCCATCCATAACTGAATGCTAGTTAGGTTATTAAAGTTTGGTGAAAATACTGCTGTACTTCTCTTCATATCCAAGTTCATGGGCCACTTACATTCTATGAAATACAACTTAAGAACTCTTGATGAGGGTATTGTGGTTGCCAAAAAAAAAAAAAAAGAAAATAAGAGGACTGTTCACATCATTATTCTGGTACGTTGGTACCTGGAAGGCAAGATCCTCGTGTGTTTTCCAACCCTGTGAGCAACTGGAACTGAACCAAGAACACACATTAGCTCTTCTTTACACGTGTGGCCCTCATCACCCTGAAAACTGTCCTCAAGAGAGGACAGACTTGCATCTTTTTCAAGTTTCTACAGTATCTATGGCTTCAGATGACGAATGTCTTAGGACCTACTGTAAACAGATCATCACACTGAAAGCTTACTTCCCTACCGCCTTCCACCAGTAACTTAGCTTACGGATTTTTAAAGAAACAAAAAAATCTTAAGCTAGTGGTGGGCGGTATGCCACCCTTCCCTAAAACTTTGGTCTGGCTCGGGCCTGTGGGTCTAGAGCGCGTGACTGGCGTGTCCCGCGGACTACAGAGAGGTGATGGCACACCAGGGCCTCGGAGCTCGCCTCGCCGCCTCGCCTCCGCACCCCCACACCACCACCACCCCCCCACGAGATCCCGGCGCGCCCGTCCGTCGCTCCCAGCGTTCACCCCTCCGTTCTCCCGCGACCCTCCCCGGCGGGGAAATCACCTAATGTAGTCGGCCAGGGAGCAGCGGCAGCACCAAACCAGCATGGAGCTCGGGCCCCGCCGCCGCCTCCCTCGGCAAGTCCACCCGGCGAGATCGAGGGTCGCGGGCCGGCTAACCGGTGGGGGGCGGGGATCAGCACCTCCGCACTCGGTGGACCAGACGCAGTTTCCGCTCCCTCCGCACGGACCCTACGCCGTAGGGACGCGCCGGACGCTGCGGTGGGCGGGGCGGCGCAGCGCCACTTTGCAGGTGTCGGGCCCGCGTCTGGCACCGCGGGCGCGGCTCGTGTCGCGGGCCGTGCGAATCGCGGGGCGGAGCTTGAGACAAACTGCGGGTGAGCCGTGAGGAGAGGTCCGCCCCCCCCATGCCAAGGCCACAGCATCTCCAGAGCCAGCGGCGCGTTACTCTGTGGACGCGGCCCACTGACGCCTTTGGCTGTGAGAACCACCGGCGTCCAAGCTTAAGACCCAGGGACCGGTCCCGCCCAGAGGAGGGGACCTACGGGCCCGCGGGCGGTTGGGGGTGGAACGGGGAGGGGGCACGGGCGGGGCGGTTCTGCAGACGGAGGTGGTCGGAAAGGAGTTCTACTCGAGTATTCAGCGCAGGGCCCCGGGAGGACAGCTGGCCAAGCTCCTTTTCACACAGCTGGCTCTCTTCCGTCCCAAACCAGTTTTCTCACATAGAATACGGATCTGTAAGTTTCCCTTTTCAAATAGTTTAAGTTTCCAATTTTGCTGACTGTTGCTCTTGAAAAACTTGCACTAGGCAGGTGTTTCAGACTCTGTGGCATTTAAACCTACGGGATTATCCCGCCGCTGGACAACAGAATGTGGGGCAATGTATACACACTTGTTTTAAAACGTCTTATGTTTTTCTCTGAATTATTGTCACTTGACACACTCATTTGATGTAGGTGTTGTTTAAGAAGGTGAAGCCTGCACTGGCTGGTTTAACTCAGTGGATTGAGCATGGGCCTGTGGACCAAAGGATGGTGGTTAGATTTCCTCAGGGTACATGCTTGGGTTGCAGGCCAGTTCCCAGCAGGGGATACAGGAGAGGCAGCCAACCATACATTGATGTTTCTCTCCCTCTCTCCTTCCCTTCCTCTCTAAAGACAAATAAAATTTTTTTAAAAAAAGAAGGTGAAGACTGAACTTGTTTTTCTCTTAACATTAGCCTTTCAGCGACCTGATAAAAATACCTAAAAATCTGGCCCAACTCGGGGAATTGGAGTTCACAAGCACTTTATAAACTTTTCCTTTATGGTTCCATTTTCATCTCAGATTCTCCCCTCCTCTCCACCACTCCCCACCTATGTCCAGTATTTTCTCCTACACCTGAATCTCCACCCCCCAACTTCTGTCCTTAGTTTAAGGTGGTATTTGAGGTGATGACTTCCATTTGGCAAGTTACATAGTGTCCCTCGGTCTCTCCTAAGTACACAGGAAGTATATGGGTTATTAAACTTTAATTTCTTTTTTTGCTAATCTGCCCCATGTCAATTTGGGTGTTAGTCCAGCTAGAAAAACCTTAGGGTAAAAGGTTACCACTCATTTCTTTGTCTCATTGCCTGTGAAGTCAACTTGAAAGCTTTATTTGCATTACTACAAGAATAGAGAAAAGGAAAAAAGTAGAGAACGATATAGTCAGAGACCAAAAATATGACAGAAAAGGGAAGTCCTATCAGAATTGACGGAGGTTTTCAACATCAGAGTGCCAGAAAGTGAGAATAGAGCAAATGGTTGGTTGAAACTAACAAGAAAAAAAAATAAACTAAATGGAGACTTGAGTGTGCAAATCTATAAGACCTGCTGGGTACTGAGCAAGAAAAAGGAAAAAGTCTACATGTAAACATATGATGAAATTTAAAGGTAGCAAGAATAAAGAAAGATTCTAAAAGCTTCCACAGAGAAAATATAGGTCCTCCACAAAGGAATGGAAATCAGGATGAAAGCAGGCTTCTCATCACCAGGACTGGATATTAAAAGACGAGCAATGCCCTGAAAGTTCCGCAAGGAAATAACTTTGAACTTGGTATCCTATACTTAGGAAAACTATCAGTAAAATATGGGGGAAGAATAAAAGTGGAAATTAAACATAAATCGAAAAAGCTTTGTCTGCTAAGTACTTTTTTTTTTATTATGTTACTTGAATATGTGGGCTGGCAAAACAAGGAAATTATCCAAGGAATTGGATCAGGTTGGTTCTGTGAACAATGGAACTAATTCAGAAAAGCAATGAAGGCAAGTCCCAGGATAATAAGTATGTAGTAGGTCTTATGACCACAGGGTTATTAGAGAACTTCCTGTAGAAAAAAAAGGTCCATAGATGAAATTAGATGCATAAAAATATTTTTAAAAAGACCATAGATCCTGGTAATGTAGGAAGAACTTACTCTAATGATGCCATAAAATTCAGGACAAATTTTAAAAAGCTGTTAGAAGTCCAGTAAGGGTGGGGGTATGAGACAAATAGTGTACAAAAAAAATAGTCATAGAATATAATTTTGGCAGAAAACATGTTTATGTAGGCATGTAGATACTGATTTTCAGATTTATAGTCTGTTTACAGATGTGTAAACAAAGCAAGAATCCCTTATTTAAGGTTATAACACATTGTAAGTGCTAACCATGATAATGTAAAAAGAGCAAGAGAGATGATGAGAAGGGTATAGGATACAATATTTTTTAAAGATTTTATTTATCTATAGAGGGGAAGGGAAGGAAAGGGGGAGAGAAATATCAATGTATGGTTGCCTCTCATGCGTCCCCTGCTGGGAACTGGTCTGCAACCCAGGCATCTGCCCTGACTAGGAATCAAACCACGGTTGTTTGGTTTGCAGACCCATGCTCAATCCACTGAGCTACCCAGCCAGGGTGGGATACAATATTTTTATTTGATGAAGAGATATTGCTTGTGGATGACACAAGAAATAGGAGTTTAAGTACATGCAGGGAGGAGCAAAACTAGGTTTACAGTTTTTGTGAAAAATAATAATACAAGAATACACTGTTTCATCTACTCACAACTGTAAACCTACTTTTGCTTAATCCTGATTGTTATCAATGGAAAAGCCAATAGTTATTTAGTTGATTAGGTTTTACAGGGATAGAAAGTTTAGAGTGGTTAATTTAGTAAAATCCTACCTATCTTGGCATGAAGTGAGTATGTAAGATCTAAAAGGGGTCTATCCTGAACTAGAAGCATAAGTGTATTATTTAGAGAGGAAGGTAACAACAAAGTTAATGCAGTTACCTCTGGGAACAAGATTAGAGGATTGTGAAAGGATGGGTTGGGGTTTATTACTTTTTGTGTTCAGCCCACTTGAATTCATTTACTCATATTTGTTGTATGTCAAAAATGCACCAGGTTTACATAAAATGAAACAAGATGTGGAGAAACAGAATATTTCCTACCTTGACAATGCCAAAATGTTAAAGTGAATATTAGATGCCTTGTTATTAAAATTTCTATTATGCAACTGATGCCGCCACATTGCTGCTCTCTTTCTCACCCTGTGTCTAACATGATCATTCTCTAACAAACTTTCCAGTCATTTGACACCAATCTTTGTTGGTGTTGTAGGAGCTCATGAATGGGGCAGCAAAAAAGTGTGACCTGTCCAACCTTTCCCCTTCAATAGAGACTGGAAAGATCCCCATATTTCTGTGAGGGAGTCTATGATTTGGGAGTTCCAAGTTGTGGCGACACTGAGTGAGTTGGAGCAGCGACAGTGATGAGCATCCTGGGTTGACTACTTGGGAGCAGGAAGGAGAAAAGCCTTTTCTTTTTCACAAGTGGCAGAGTAGTGCTTCTCGGCCATGGCTGCATATTAGAATCACCAGGAGCATTAATAAAACTCAGTGCCCTTCCTACCCTTCCCACTCTTGCTGATTGAATTAAAAAGTCTGAGGAAGGAAGCTCACATGATTCAAATCATTAATGTGCAATTCAGATGCAATTTTTACATGATTCAATTGATAAATTAGAGCTTTGAACCAGTTTTCATTCTAGTATTTATAACACTGTGAAAGTCAGAAAGAACTACAGTAGTTCTCTGTTATCCTTAAGGGGTATGTTCCAAGACCCCCAGTAGATGCCCAAAACCTTGTATATAGTGTCTTTTCCTATACATACTTACCTATGCTAAAGTTTCATGTCTTTTACATCATAACTGAGCACTTATCACACACTGTGGCTGAAACTTTTGTAGTTTGGAGATTTCATCATGTTATGCAGAATGACACCCAATTTAAAACTTATGAATTGTTTGTTTCTGAAATTTTTCATTTAATATTTTCAGATTGGATGATTGTGGGTAACTAAAACTGTGGAAAGTGAAACTACAAAAAAGGGGGACTACTGTATACTTCTTTCACCTGATAATAAATACTTCTAGTGAATAGGAAACGTGTAGCTTGTATTTCACTGATCAAGTGAATTCAGTTGTCAAAAGCTCCCTACACATATACCAGTTTACAGTTCTAATCTCACCTGTTATTCTCAGTGCACCCAATGCTGTTCTCTCCAAACATAGTAGGCAGTCTCTCCAAAGGAATTTGTGTTGGCTATTCCTTCAACCTGCAACACTCTCCCCACCATAACCACATGGCTAATTACCTCACTTCCTCAGAATCTATTCAAATATTGCCTTCTCAATGAGGCTGACCCTGATCATCCTGTTTAAAATTACAGTCTGCCCTTTTTGTCCCAAACTGGTACTCTTGATCCAACCTGCCCTGCTTTTATTTTATTTTAGTATAAAGATAACATATTATGTAATTTATAACATTGTATAATTTGCCTACTTAATATATCTGTAGTGTAATATTTGTTTCCACTAAAATGTAAACCAATAAATAAGTTTTTTTCTTTTGTTCGCTAATGAAGCTTAAGTATCTGAAACAGTGCTCAACACATATTGGCACTAAATAAATACTTGTTGAACTTCAGTGGCCTCTTAAATAACATTTAGCTCATTATCTCCACAAAAGTTCTGTGTTTATTCATGTTATATACTATGTGTTTGGAATGTGCTTCCATTACAACATAGCATAAAGTCTTTGTGGAGTTATAAATCTTCCCAGGCAAATGTTCTGTCCCTCAGTGAAGCATGTGGATATCTGGGTTGGGAGTCAGAAAATCTAGGCTTTAGTCTTGCCTTGTCTGTTAAGTACAATATTGGGCAAATTACCTTTACCTCTCTAAGTCTCACTTATGTAATCTAAAAAAGCAGATTGGTATAAATAAATTAAGAATTCTCTTCTATCAAACAGTATTTTATTACCAGTGGTGAGATGAAAACACAATGTTAATTATATGTTGTTGTTATTTTCTGTTTTCATATGAAAGCAGTTGAAATATGCACTATTTCCATATTTCAAGCTGAATTTAGTAGAGTGATTAAGAGTTATAATTTTTATTTTATTT